TACTAAAAACACTCAATGACAACTACCTGAATGATGGCAGAGTTACTGTATACATTGGATCATAATGCATGCAGATGAAAAGGACTCATTTATAACATGTTTAAAAAGATGAAGGCATTTGGAAGAATCAAAGAAGAATTTGTTGGTGTTATAATGGTAAGTCGCATTTATTTGGAAAGTTAGAAACGTAATATGAAGAATGTGTTTCTATCTTGTTGGATATTTTGTTGATAAAGAAGTGAAGAACATTTTAAAAAATATCAACATAAATAAATGGAACAAGTGAATTTTTTGTAAACGAAATGGGTTTATATTTGATGAAGGTCTACATGTACTTTCCTTTTTTTATTTGTGTGCTCCCTCTACTAGTGTTGGTACACACAATTGTCATGTTAGTACGACGTGCATCCTTTACTTTGCTCATTTGATTTTTTAAAATTATATATTTGAATACTTTTGAATCATAACAACACATTCTATATAATTTTTTGAATTAACGCATTGATACATGTGACAAAAACACTTATAAAATAATTAAAACAATCCTCATTTCCAATAGAAATGTCTGTATATTTTTATATTATTATTGTTATTTATTATTATTTTATATTTTTATTATATCAAGCACGAATATTTTCGGGTTCTAATGTGAGAAAAACGTTTTCAAAGATTAGCCCGCGCTTTTTAAGAACAACGCTTTTGAAATAGGATATACTAGTATTTATTTGTTTAACTGGGGCTATAGGGAATAAGAATGGCAACCTTTCAATTTCATGTATTGTGAAAAAACAAAGTACGATCACTTTAGATCATGAGTACTGAGAGTCAAAGTCTACCGTTGTTTAATCTGTAATTGCTAGAATTTAGGACAAAATTCTGGCAAGTGATTCTCATCAAATTATAAAATTTGGCTTCTATTCTATTGAAATAATTGAAGATTTATTGTAAATCAATTTGTTCACAGGTCCCTAGGAGTGAAAATTAAATAACCCAAATTATAGAACATTAAAATCCAGAACTCAGGTTTTTAGAATCGGAGAACAAACCTGTTGCAGACAGGCCTATAAGATTTTTTCTTAATGTTCTCATATTAAAAAGAAACCAAATAAATCAAATAACAATATTGTGAAAACTGTGTTTTCAAGCAGAGTCATTTTGTCAAGATAATTTTTTACCCCTCTCCCCTACAACAAACACACACATGTACGATTTGAATGCGTTAATTTATGTATATACGTACAGTATTTGGTTACAAAATCTACCGTCATCTTGAATTAAAAGCTATCGTATATTACAGTGTAGTATATTAATTATATAAGATTTAAAAATATAGGATACGCATTTAATACAATCAAAATCAAGAAACTTCATCATGGTAATATCAAATCATGACCCCTGCCGGTAATGTGGGGTCACAACAGTTGATCAAAGTTATGCAAAGAAATTTAAGGGATAAGTTTAAAAAAATCAAGAATAAGCACTGCATGAAAATTTGGCTTTACAAAACAAGTAAAGATAATGTAAATTTATTATTTACAATGCCTTTAATTGGCTTTTCTGAAAAAAGTCAAAGTTGGAAAAGGTAACCTTTACATTAACTTTACATGCACTTAAATATGATGTAATGTCCCACATTGTCTTGACTTTACAAAAAAGTAAAGTTAATATTTACAAACATAAAACACAGTATTTGGGGTACATTAAATCTGATAATTACAAATATTAAATTTAATTAAATAACATCTTTAATAGCCACAAAAGTTAATTACTGTTTTCCATTCTTTTGAATAAAGCTTGTGCATATGATAAATAAGCTTTTCCTTCCAAATTGAAACTGCAAAAAAAGTAACAACAGACTGACTTAAACTTTGTTTTTTACTATATTAAACATTTTTATACAAACATATAATCAACAACATCAAATTTCTTGACAGTATCTATTGTACATAGTCTATCCTGCAAATCCCATACACATAGATAAGTATCCAGGACAGAGTACATTGCACTAAAATCCTTTTCAAACATGTCATTTTGTTTTATAAAGAACCAATTGTTCATCCTTGAATTTAAAGATTTGAATTGACATGAAACTGTGCTCCACTTTTTTGTTACTCGACATGCGTTTCTGTGGAAATCAACAACTGTCCAAATATATATTTTGTCACATATTCCTTTTCAGAGTCCAAAACTTTTATTCTCATGCAGGCAGTCTTCTACTGTTTTCCTTAAAAGAAAAAATATATATATATTTTCAGTGACATGAATATTTTCATAGGCATCTGTGTTATAAATTCAAATAAACTGTGATATCAGTATTCACAGTATCATGACTAATGAAAATTGAAACGAGATGCAACCATATTAATACATGTAGATAAAAATTTCATACATGACCTTTAACCTCAAAAAGAAAATATTTTGAACCATTAATGTCAGCCTTTATTTTTACCAAAAAGGCTATGTTAATCTTATTAAATAAGACAGATACAAACTGATGAACATGTTGCTATTAACTTATTTTATGATATAAATGGACTGGGCCACTAGCCCTTATCTTACCCCTAAGATTAAAATTTAATAACTCTGTAATTTCTTTGTTTATCATTACCTAATTTTTCTTTTGAAAGGATTATTTACAAAATATACTAATGTAGGAGTAAAATAAGATTTCTCGTGACCTTCTGTAGATAAGATACTTTTGCAGAATTGAGAAAATGTTTGTCTTACTTGCAAGATAATTTGTGAAAAAGAACTGGCATCAGTATCTATGAATAATTACTGAACACATATAATTAACTCCATTTTCCTTCTTAGTCATCAGGTAACAAAAAGACCAATAGTTGCTGCTTATAGAGCTATAGTATGATATTCAAGTTATGGTTTAGGATATATGTACCTTTCTCCCAGTAGCATGTTGCTGCTCATGAATTATTTCCTGATCTTGGAATTGTAAAAGTTGACAGGTCCCTCATTTTGAAGATAACATGCTAAAATGGAATTTATACTTTGATAAACATTTCATACATCTGGATAAATATAGCCAATGTTTTCATAAATACTTTTGAGTTTGAAGCATACCAAAGAATGATTTTAAAAATACACAATGCAATTACAGTTAATAGTTATGAATTGCCGAACACCCTTATGTTTGTTTTCTTCACAATTAAAGAATACTTTAGGTCTAAGCAACACTTGCCATCTATAAAATTAAACTCTTGAACTCTTCTCAAGTGTTTCTTCTTCATGAAAGATATGTCAATAAGGTGTTAACTCTCTCACAGTAAGCTGAGTAGCTGGAGCCTGGAAAAAGTAATAACACATTTTTTGAAAACAGAAATGTTTAATTATACTGACTCCCGAAAAAGTCAAGCAATTGATAATTTAAATAATTGTTTAAGTAACATTTTTATGATATTATTTATTGATTTTTTTAAAAACTAATATGTACAAGTACCATCAAAAAACATTGGGATCCCTTGGTCTGGTAAATCATACATTGTTGTCATCCACGACTTTCTTCAAGAACCTGCATAATTGATTTCACTGTACCTGTTTTTGAAAATGGACATGGTTTAGAATACAAAATAATATCTATAAAATATAACCTAACTTGTCCTCTATTAAAAACATTAGCATACCCTGGCTTCTACATTTTTTTTTCCCTAGCACTAATGTAAGCAGCTAAACATTCTGAAATTGTGACCTAGAATTGTTTTCCTTGGTCTTGTTTAATCCATGATCATTTACAGAAAAAAATGGAACATTATCCCCAATTTATCAAGTTACATATCTAAAAACACATATTTAGCATAGTTTTTCCTGACTTTATTCAGTTTCAATGTTTCACAATGTATGCTGAAAACAGATGGAAAACGTAAACAAACCTGCAGTGCATGCCAGCCCGGGAGCTCGAACAGTTTTCCAAGCAATAACCCCCTTAAATCTTCTGGTAGATGAAAAGGTATCAATTCAACTGATCAATGGTTGCATATTTTCGTCGAAAATACCGATGAGACCCGCTCAACTTGATTTGAAATGATTGGCTATTCATCGGAATACACAGTGCCATATTTGGGTTACTGTTAAAAGTAGATCGTTCGTTTTGTATTCGAGAAAACTTGGATGAAGAGGATTACACAATACTGAGGTGGAAAACATCCGTATATATGATAAAATATATTTCAGTATTCTAAAGTAAAGGTTGTCAAATGAACGGGACAAATTACTGATAGTACCTCTTATAAACAAAACTAATAAGCGTAGGACTTATTCAGGGCATTTGCAATGTATGGGAACCAGTCTACGAGGCAACAAAAATTCCGCCAAGAATAAACAAAGAGATTGCGAGATGTTGTTTACGTGTGTCACACGACACTGACTTCAAGGTAATGAAAATGTGCTTATTTTTTGTGTATAACTGTTTTCTGTCTTTCAAGATATTGAACAATAGTCGTTTAACATTTAGACGAAATTGCGAAACATATAGGGGAGATCCGGAGAGAGGGAAGAAGAGGGGTCACCTCTCAAGTTGTTGCATCTACTATATAGTGGTGGTATCAGTGTCAGGATATAATAAATTAAAATGGAAAAATCATAATAAAAATTTTGTTTTAGATTTAGGAAAGCTAAATAAAGGGGCGACTATTTTTTGTTTGATGCGGGGGGGGGGGGGGATTAAAATATATATTAACCTCAAAAATGTTTAAAAGATATAATCTCATCTCAACTGAAAAAATGATTAATAATCTTTCCTTGTCTGATGCCATTATTCCTTTTACCTCACTGAAATAAGAGTTTCTGAGTCAGTTTATTTTTTCCTTTTTGTAGTGGCGATGGGGGGGGGGGGGGTTCAAACTTTGTTCATTTAAGATAAACATGAATAATCTGTCCCTCATTATTAAGGAAATCAAATATTCTGTTCATCACTGACTGGAAAATAATTAATCCGACTTAGCTGTCAAAAAATTACCTTTTCATAATTTATCTTTTGTAGAAACGAGTGGAGAGCTAATGCATGGTGCTAAGTATGGAAAGGTCTCTTGTGGTTTGGTTGTGCCAGAGACAAATGTGCATTATTTCCATGTTGGGTAATTTCCTTAAGAATGGAATTTTTTTTTCAAATACAAGGGACATGACTTTTTCATACATTATCACTGTCCAGGGATCAAAATATTTTTAAACATTGTTAGATACTCACTACATTATTTCATCTTCAGAAAAGTATTTAAATTATTTTCTCACATTTTTTAAAGAGACCAGTGTGGTGAAGAGATTTTTTAAAATTTTAATCTTGAATTTTGATATTATACAGGTCAGAAGTCTCGGTACACTTTAAGTGAGTGGCAGTTGGGTAGATGGATGACCTTCAGATAGTTTGAGATGAAGAAGTTCTTTTAAATGATTGAAAGTGATCATCATAGAATCAACTCCATTATGAAGATAAATTATGAGAGTCAGGTGAGGAATTGACTTCAATGTGTTATAACATTGTGTAAATGAATCTTCATTATTAATATCTTTTACATTTTATTTTTGAACTTGTTTTTCTATTATTCTAAACTTCCAAAAATAAAATTAAAGTAGTTAAAGCATGCTACAAACATTTAACGTATCTTGGCAAGTTTTCAAGGTTATTGCAGTAGTGCTTTAATTTCAAAAGATAACTAATTAATGCAAACCTGGAAAAGAAATGGATGTTATTCTCTATAATTTCAAAGATTATGTTTATTATTAGCACTCCTTTTGTCCAACACCTGAGAGATCTGAGTACCCAGCCTACTGTTGAATTAATTGGTGACCAAGAAAAGATGACAGAGAGGGGAATCAAATATGGATGCCATCATGATCAAGAATATATACATTGACTAGAAAATATCTGAAAATATATCGATGAACATTCAAGCATTTATAATAATGAAAGTTATTCAGCAAGAGAGTTTTTGCACAAGTTTAATTTTCAGTAAAATTGTGTATATTGTGAACTGAGGAACTTAGTATGTAACTCATTATCATTATCCATTTCTTTAGAGGATGTATTCGGAGTATATTTAAATAATCATTATCTTCCAGAAAAGAGCACACAAAACTTTTCTCTCTGTGCAAAGCATGACACATATGCATACACTCCAGCATTTACCACAACCACAGTTACATATTTTCCAGGGCGTTTGAAGTCGAGCACATACATGAAAATGTGTTAAGCTGGACACATGTGTAAACACACAAGCATCTACCACAACACCAGTTACATATTTTCCAAGGCGTGTGAAGTCGAGCACATACATGAAAATGTGTGAAGCTGGACACATATGCAAACACACAAGCATCTATCACAACCAGTTACATATTTTCCAAGGCGTGTGAAGTCGAGCACATACATGAAAATGTGTGAAGCTGGACACATATGCAAACACACAAGCATCAACCACAACACCACTTACATATTTTCCAAGGCGTGTGAAGTCGAGCACATACATGAAAATGTGTGAAGCTGGACACATATGCAAACACACAAGCATCTATCACAACCAGTTACATATTTTCCAAGGCGTGTGAAGTCGAGCACATACATGAAAATGTGTGAAGCTGGACACATATGCAAACACACAAGCATCTACCACAACACCACTTACATATTTTCCAAGGCGTGTGAAGTCGAGCACATACATGAAAATGTGTGAAGCTGGACACATATGCAAACACACAAGCATCTACCACAACCAGTTACATATTTTTCAAGGCTTGTGAAGTCGAGCACGTACATAATCTCCTACCACAGACGCAATACACATAACATTTACACCAACGTATAAAGTCAAGCTCAAACAGGCTCACTGCGTGAAGCTGGACACATGCATTTACTTATGCATCTTGCAAAACTACATCTGAACCTATATTCTAATAGGTGTTTAAGCAATTTTGTTTATTTTGTGAATATGTAAATTGCACCATTATGCTTACAGGATGTCAACATTATTAACCTGTACGGAAATACTCATTAGATGGCCTTTAATAGTTTAAGTTGGAAATACTAGTACTTTGCCTGATTTATGTTGTGTAGTTTCTCGTCAGTGATCTTGAGTAATAACTGAGTATGGCATTTTTAGTTCCATTTAAACTGCAAAGTTTTAACACATGTACATGCACCATAAAGGATAAATAATATTGTATTGTATTTTAACCTTTTTTAATTTTATTCTTTGTCATTTTATTGCCTGTTCAAGTAAAAGATGTAATCTTGTAATGTTTGTAACTGTTTTTGGTAGATATTTATGAAGCAGAAATTATAAAAGAAAAGGTTTCAATACATCTACACACAAAGTAAATAAAAAAGAGTTCTCCATCTATCAGATATCAACAAATCAGATGAGTTAAAGGTTTTGTAATGTTTGTAACTGTTTTTGGTAGATATTTATGAAGCAGAAATTATAAAAGAAAAGGTTTCAATACATCTACACACAAAGTAAATAAAAAAGAGTTCTCCATCTATCAGATATCAACAAATCAGATGAGTTAAAGGTTAAGTCATAGGGAATTTTAAAGTTTATTATATCTATATTCTGATATCTGATACCATTTTTGCATTTTTGATTGTCCCTCTACAGTATACAAAAATAGTATAAATTTTTATATTTTGTAGATGACAATCTCTAATACTAAATACAACTGGAAATTGATATAACGCTTAAAAATTGGTGTATTTTTAGTAAGATCGAGTTTAACAAAAACGAGGTGGGGGTAACAGAAAAGACACATCAGATACCTATTTATTTTAAAAGTCAAAAACCATTTGTTGAAATCTAAGTACGAGTGTATTAAACAAAGGCCAGTATTTAAACAAGGATTTAAAAAAGTTTCATATATATATATATATATATATATATATATATATATATATATATATATATATATATATATACTTTAATGCAGCATTAAAGGTGAAAGGTTAAATTTAATTACCTTTTCTTTTAAGTAAAGGTTACCTTTTCACCTTTACTTTTTGTAAAGTTAATACAAAGATGACCTTGCTTTTTGGAGCACCTTTAATGAGATTTACTTTGCAAGTAAAGTTTTGTAAAGCTATTTTTTCAAGCAGTGAAGAAAGCCATAATAAGTAAAATTTATTGAGAAGCATCCTCAGGTGATGTAGATACAAATGTGTTCAATGCATCTGCCTGGGGGTAGGGCAATGCAGTGGAGATTAAATGTCGGGACATTTTTTTTTTATTTAAACTCTTTAATAATTAACCGATTTAGCGATATGGCCTATCGGCCTCTATTTTAAATTCTGTTTACATGTACTTGTTTAAATTTAAGATTCTATATATATATATATATATATATATATATATATATATATATATATATATATATATATATATATATATATAAACAGAAAATATTTTGTGCACCATTCATAGACTTTGTACATGTACTTCTATCACAGGGCATAAGATGGAGGTAAACAACTCAGCAGGACCGTAACCACCAAGATGTCTGAGGAGTAAAAACAGAAAACACATAGATGTGTAAAGGATACGTTTATATAGAGACCACAGAAAAGTATTAAACAAGAAATCATCGGTATAATATTCTGATGACGCTTTTCAAGTAAATTGGATATATAAAGAATAGTGGTTCTTTTATTCAAGAAACATCAGGGAGAAGTACTCAACAGTTCATAGTGGAAGGATTGCTAAAACGTGTAAGTGAAATTTCATATCAGATGTCAAATGATACAGATCAAGGCCAAACCACTAGGATTTTACCACAATGTTACCCACGAGCTGGAACTAGGAAACCCACCTTACAAACATAATTTGGAACAGTCAGTAATTTGGACTTTGACTCTCGCAAAGCATGTCAAAGTTCTGAAAAGGGATACAAATATATTTCCATCAATCTTAGGAGTAAAAATGCATAATATCAACTCTTGCATATTGTGATTGTGTTAGACTTGCATGTATCATTTTAATTCTATTTGGAATTCTACATAATCTATAGAAGACTAATACATGATCTATTTTTTTATTCTTAAAGTGTGTGCTGTGTTCATTATTTAAATGGTGATGATCCTCTCAGCTCATTGTTCCCTTTTACATGTCCAGTATGAATTCCTAATGTTTTCTAATACTAAGTTAATGTATTTTGATTGCTTCACCCAAAGATTTCATCAGGGGAGTGTATGAATTGAAATGTTTAGCTCAAATGATTTTTGGGGCTCCTATGTCAAAGTATTAGAGCGTTTGCTCGAGAGTCACGCAGTTAAGTGTTAATCCTTACGTCGTGGTTTCCCACCCACTGCAGGACATGCAGCCTAGGTGCAGGCAAGGAAAAATTCTCCGATTACAAAGGGACGTTAAAGAAACAAAGAAAAGTATTTTTTTCGTTTGAAAAAATGAGTTAAAAGAAGTGTTTCATTCAGCTGTGTATTGGGGTGCAGATAAAACAGTGCATGGAGGGTTATTTTCATATATTGTTTATATACTAGTGTGCCTTATTGGAGGAAGCACATTTGTTTTTGAAATTGTATACACTTTTTTGACATTGTATTTCATATTTATTTTGATCACATGTTGATAGTACCAATTATTGTTGAATTGCGAACCTATCAACATAAAGAGGGGGTAAGATGTAAATTTTCGACTTTTCTGGTGAATCCACCAGCTTTCTGTCCTTGTGTATAGAAACGAACTTAGTCATTGTAAAGGAAAACTACGAATGCTTTTTGATTTTAATGCTTTTGGTGGATCCAACAAACTCCCCACTTTTAATAAATACACAGGCAATGTTGACAATATATCATTTAAGTATTCTTGAGTATTCCTATTTGCATTTTGGTGGATCCACCAAGTATTTGTAAGTGAAATCGAGAATGCCTTGTTATTTGATTTTTTTACAGTTTGGTGAGTCCACCAAACTCCTCTCTGTATTTAAGGACAATTTAGTTGAACTTTGGGTTACATGTAGATTTTTGACTTTTCTGGTAGATCCACCAGCTTTTTGTCCTTGTGTACATAAATGTATTAAGGAAGTGTCACTAGGTAATTGTAAAGGAAAATTATGAATGCCTTTTGATTTTTAGCTTTTGGTGGATCCACCAAACTGCCCACTATAGATAATTACACGGATAATGTTGACGGTATATCATTCAAGTATTCTTGTGTATTCCGGTTTGTATTTTTGGTGGATCCACCAAGTATTTGTGAGTAAAATTGAGAATGTCTTGTTAGTTGATTTTTTGCATTTTGGTGAGTCCACCGACTCTGTATTAGGGACAATTTTAGTTATACTTTCTTTTTTAGTTTTTGGTGGTTCCACCACTCAGTTTCTCTCAGTGGGTTGTTTCAGTGTCTTAACACTGGTGGATTCACCAACGTCGTTTTTTAAGTATCGTCAAAAGTAATTGAGAATTTCACCAGATTGCTTTTATAAATTTGAGCTGAATTGTCTATTTGTATTTTTGGTAGAATCACCAAGTTTTCTTGAAGATATTTCAGTTGTTTTTTTTTTTTTTTTTTGGTAAGTTCACCAATTCTTTTAATGAATTGTAGAATTATGTATTGTCAAATTCACTCTTGTTTTCTTGGTGGAACCACCAAGATCAATCTTTATTTGAAGATATTTGATAATTCAAATTGGTGGATTCACCAATCCTTTGACTGTGAATATGGAATACCGATACATAATTGATCTGTTTTAACATAAATATTGGTGACCACACCAATTCTTAACTTATTCAATAACGAAAATGAATAAAAAAAATTGTCGATTTCTGAAATTGCATTGTCTTCATTTTTCATTTTGAATTAAAAAAAGAGGACACGAATAGAAAATCCTCTTTCTTAATGGAAACAGTTGTTGTTAAAATTTCTCTTGATGGAAAAAAAGTTATTCTGATGGAGAGTGATTAAAATCATATTTGAAAGTTTGTTTTCCAAACAAATATTTATAGAAAAATGATGTTTTAGATATTTCTTGTAATTTTTCTTGCATATCTTCCAAACATTGCGGCAAAACTTCATCAACGGCTTCAAAGTTCTCGCTGGTCTTGGAAACTGACTGGGTCCCATGTGAAGACCGTGCATCAAATTTCCTTCAAAGTGGATGTTGTCTCTACCTATAATGTGACGAAAGCATCAGAAAACAATATTAGAGATGGTATAGTTTGGCTAAAAGTGATATTAGTTGTTTTCATCTAGATGGAAAAAGTGCTTTTACAACAGTTTCTTAAAGGATCATTCAGAAGAAAAAGCTCTTTTTTAATTCCGTTTTAAGATATTTAGTTTTACAAAACGACGCCGTCATTGTATTGCTTTATGCTTAATGAACTCTACTGTCTACTACCTTCAGGCAAGTACAAAGATTGTTCAACCATCCTGAAGAAAAATCCAGGTCAGATAAGAAAGGATGGTGTATTCACAATTTATCCTGACGGAAAACTAAAGAAAAAAAGTTTTTTGTGACATGACAACAGAAGGAGGGGGTTGGACGGTGAAGGATTAAAAGTCTTCATTGTTCTGCTTTCAATTCATGATTTGTAAGAGTTCATCAAATTATATTACAAGAAATTACAGCTTCCATCTTTTTTTTTTGGGGGGGGGGTGAAAAATTATACAGAAAAGATTGGACGGGACTACAAATTTTTACAGGACTTGGAGTGAATATAAAACTGGTTTTGGAGATCCTAGCAAAAACTATTGGATAGGTATGACGATAACTCTAATAACTTATCAAATCATCTCATTAAAAGTCACGGGCAAGCAAGCAAAATTTTACCAAAATCAATTATCTCTATGTGAAAAATATGGTTCCACAAGTCTTCCCCCACGAAGTATTACAAAAGTACTCTTAATTCACTTATAGTGATACAATGTTTACATTATCGTGTAAGGGTTGATTTAAATTTTGTAAAGGATAAATTATAAAAAGAACTCTGAAACTGTTCAATCTATTAGCTAACCTAACCGAAATTAATAACAAGTACAGAAAATTGCTTTGAGGGCAAATAACAGTACAACATTATAAGCTGAAAACTTTGCAGAAATTGTAATAGTTTGTTATATATCGAAAATTATGTTTTTTATTTACATGTTAAGTGAACCGAAATGCTCATTCCCTTATGCATACGTTAAGGCAAATCTTAGGTTTAATTTGCTAACCTTTATGAATAAAACGGTTATAAATTCATGAATGATTTATATGTACAAAGTAAAGTTGTCAAGTTACAGGAAATGATTTCATACACCTACTTACAAAGAATGGGTATAATGAACTTCGTGTGGATCTCCAGAGATTAAATGGTCAGAAAGGATACGCCAAATACTCTAGTTTCGAGGTCGGAGACGAAACAAGTAAATACAAACTCAGTGTGTCCGGATACAGTGGCTCGATATTTTATCATGTAACTTTCTTTCTCTTTAGTTGAACTTTAAAAGACATAATCTCAAATTCGACTAATTCAGGAACCAGTATAGTATTTCATTTTATTAGGTAATTTTTTCTTCCTTATAACAGTACATGTTACTTAATTATACTAAAAAATGTGCTTTAGACTTGAATTTTCAAATCACCAATTAGATGTAACTTTTTTTAAGGTGAATATTTAATGAAAATTCATTTTTAGAGGACAGTCTTCTTTACCACAATGGAATGAAATTTTCCACAAAAGATCAAGACAATGATTTTACCAGCTCCAACTGTGCATTGTTCTATCAAGGTGCATGGTGGTATACAAGTTGCTATAAATCCCACCTGAACGGTCTCTATCCCAAGTCCGCAACAAAAGATGAAAAACACAACATATGGGAAAATTGGGTTAAAGAAGCAATAAAAGAACAACAATGATGATAAGACCATCAAAATAGAAAAAAGACTTTATATATTCAAATATTAATAAAACAAAAAGCAGACTTTTTAAAAATCTTTTTAAATGTTGTCAATGTGAATTAATTGTTCCACAACGGCACTAAAAGAAACAACAATGATGATCACACAATCAAAATAGAAAAGACCTTTACAATGTGTATGCAAAAATTAAATCATCATAAAGTAAATATTGTTTTTCATTTTTTTTTCTTTCGGGGTGATCTTCATTTCACTGTATTTCTTTGAATGGTATGTGAGTAGAAAAGAGGATACATATTGTCTGGTTAGAAATCTATTCTTTATATGATTTATTACTCGCCCTTATACTTAACCAAACTAAATTTATTATACACTGAAAAAAAATATTGTAAAAACTATTCCAATGCTGTCAGCTTATAAACAAAGAGGAGCTATCAATACGCAAAACTAGTAATTCAAACTGTTAATCATTTCTTTATAAAAGTGTATGTTCAACAACGAACAAAAACTAAGACTTTCTCAACAGGGATCCAATTTACTTACCTACTGCCCGTTACGCCTTTGGTGTATAGGGCAGTAACGAGGGTTCTCAATCCTTGTCTATCACTGGCTAGCTTTTGTAGTGTGCCCGAGCTTCTGTTAAGTTCTCTAATTTCGGCTTCCATTGTCCGCCGACAAGTGAGTTTGGCCCTTCCTCTCTTCCTTTTTCCCACTGGTGTCCAGAAGAGAGTTGTCTTTATAATGCTGTCTGAGTCCCTTCTAAGTACATGGCCAAGCCATCCAGCGTCTTCAGATGATGATTGTGGCCATGTCTTCTTGCTGGCACCTGTTGATTTCACTTGATAATTGTGGCCATGTCTTTGCTGGCACCTGTTGATTTCACTTGATAATTGTGGCCATGTCTTCGCTGGCACCTGTTGATTTCACTTGCAGGGAATGGAGTATAGTAAAAAATAATGTTTGCAGAAGATTTGGAAGTGATAAAAATCTGAAATATTTTTTCTCTTCATATTTTGTCCACATATAAGACTGTCCCTGGGACCTAAAATCTTTACCTAAAAGCCACAAATTTTATGACATTACTTAAAAGTGTATCTTTCAGTAAAATCTCGAAAACCGAAACATATCTGCTCCAAGTATATCTAGTAGTTAAGGTGAAGAAAAAAAATTATTTCCTGCATTTGCATTACAAGGAAATATATGGAGATAACGAACAATATTCAAGATTAAAAGTTCATTAAACAATACAAAATAGGAGCAGAGCAAACACGGACCTCCAAAACATCAGAGGTGGGATCAGGTGCCATGGAGGAGTGAGCATCTCCTGCCGACCGGTCACACACTTAAAGTCATCACGTTTATCATAAAGTTTGGTTGTTAGATTACCATTAACGTCTTTTTCAAGTAATATATCCAAATATGAAACAGATGTGTCAGACTCTGTGGTATCTTTTATCTCAAGCTCACCAAATATATAGTATCGACATAAGAATGGAAATAGCCATTGTTAATTGACACTACGTCGTCGATGTATCTAAATGTCGAGTTGAAGGCCACAGCAAGTGTTTTCTTCTTTTCACGTACAAGATTTTGGACAAATTCTGCTTCATATGAATACAAAAAAGGTTTGCTAATAACGGGGCACAATTGGTACCCATGGGAATTCCAATAGATTGTTTGTAAGACCTGGTCTCCAAAAACCACATAGATATTGTCAATCAGAAACTCAAGCATCTTTTTAATCTCAACTTCAGAGTACTTGTGTGTACAATCAGAATGTTTTTTAACAAAATAATTTTGCAAATGACCAATGGCAAGCTAAGTATATTTACGAGTTCCATTTTTATTGAAAAAGCAGCTGTCAATGATATCAACAAGCCTGGACTTTAATTTATCGTGGGGAATGGTTGTGTGTAAAGTTGAAAAGTCGTAAGTTTTTAAACTGTTGATTTTGGTAAAAATCTTGTGATTTCAAATTTTCAAAAAGATCCTTGGAATTTTTAAGTATCCACATCTGATTTACATTTGAGACTTCTATTTGAGACTTAATAATAGTGGGAATATGCTCTCTGTTAACATTTCTTAAATAGCATACATATATCTACGAGGGTTGTTCGGAAAATTTGCGGACTACGTCAATCTTCATTATACTATCCTCAAAAAATATATTATGAGGACATTATTTTATGTAAAAATATTTATTCTGTTGGTGTGTGAAGTTTCATTTCATTTTATTTATTAGAAAGCATGTTATTTAATTTTAAAGCAGACATGTTTTATTACCACGGAGCAAAGTCAACAATACTGTACCGTCGAAAACATAGCGCCATGAGTTTCTCAAGAATATTCGCCCTTACCATTTTGCAGTATGGCCCAATACCAGTGCAGTCATTAAAAAGTTTCTCTATCATTTAAAATGTATTTTGTTAACAATTCTTCCAGTAGACTGATACATGCACAGGGTCTCTATCATCCAAATCTGCCTGTATCATTAACACACACATGCACGGTTCGCTTTTAACATATTTCCTGCTTCTTCCAGCATTTTCAGAGTTTTTTCTCTGGGTTTTCAAGACCTTCAATTGACATTAAGATATATCGACAATGTAATATCAATTAACAATAGTTCATTTCATTCATATGTCAATTCGATATATCCCAGTGAACTTGAAATGAAAGACACCATAGAGTCTGCCACATCTGTTTCATATTTGGATTTTTACCGACTATAGACAATATGGGTCAACTAACAACTAAATTGTATCACAAACGAGATAACTTTAACTTTTCCATCATCAACTTTCCTTATTTATGTACTAATATACGGTTTTCACCTGCATATGGATTTTTACATATCATTACTTATTCGATACTCAAGAGCATGCTCCAAGTACGATCAATTTTTTAACCGAGGCAGGCTACTGACAGATCAGCTGATGTTACAGGGACTTCAACAACCTCGTTTAATGTCAACATTTTGTATTTTTTATGATCGTAATAATGACCTTGTTAGCAAATAAAACCTATTATTTGGTCGTATTATGGCTGACTTGTTTCATACCAGTTGTTAGGCCTTTGTTTATAAACTGAATTTAATTACGGAATGTTCCGTCAACCTGATCATTACATAGAGTTTATGGCGGGTGTGACCGGTAAACAGGGAATGCTTACTCCTCCTAGGCACCTGATCACACCTCTGGAATTTTCAGGGGTCCGAAATTTTTATGCCGTCTTCAAATATTTGTGTTGTTTATGGATTTTTTCGTGATCGATCACTGTTTGTTATCTTCACCTTTTTCACTTAATAACAAGCATATAAATGTTTCAAATTGATAAACGAGTAGACAATAAATATAACCGCAACATCTAGTAGACACAATCTATAAAAGAGTATATAAACATGTATACTCATTCTAAAGATTGTGTCTACTGCATCTTGAATGGTGGATATCAGTGAAAAGCTTGAAAAGTCTAATGGATTAGGCAGATTTATTTCTAATCAAAAAGGAAGACAGAGTTTTAAATATGAGACACTATTATGTCGTGTTTATTGAGAGAGATTGAATGAATCAATTTCTTTAGCATGAACAAGGTATTAACTTTCACAGTGATGAATATTTTCCGTTTGAGATTTGGACATAACGGTAGTTTGTGTTTTTAAAAATTATTTCTCATTGATGGAAAAATGTTATTTTGATGGTGGAAGAATTATTAAAATCATATTAGAAAGTTTGTTTTCCAAAAAAAAAAAAAAAATTTACACAAATTTTGTTTTAGTTTTCCTTGTAATTTTTCTTGCATATTTTCCAAACATTGCAACAAAACTACATCAACGCCTTCAAAGTTCACGATGGTTTTGAAAACTGATTGTAACCTATGTAAAGACCACGCATCCTGTTTCGTTCAAAGTGGATATGCCTCTACATATAATGTGACGAAAGCTTCAGAAAAAAAAAATAGACATGGTATTCGTAGTTTGGCTTTGTAGCAACTGCTAAAGATAAATCGCTGCTTACTGATATAAATATGATTAAGTGTTGCAATGCAACGCTTAATGTCATAATTATTGTATAAATAGTCGACATTCTCAACCGCTTAATAATAATTTTTTTATCAATAGGCGATTTAGCATTAGCGTTTGAGGATGTCAATTATAAATGCAATAATTTATGGCAATACGCGTTGCAAATGCAACGCTTAATGATATTTCTTTCATAAAGCGGCGTTTTATCATTAGCGGTTGCTACATAGCTTAAAGTGATATAAGTTGTTTTCATCTGGATTGAAAATGCACTTTTACAACAGTTTTTATTTGAAAGAGTATTACAAAAGATTGATTGATTGTAGGTTGTTTTTACGACCCAATCGAGAATTTTTCACTCATATAGAGACGTCACCATATACCGGTGAAGGGCTTCAAATTTTGACCTTTACTCGGCACTCAGGGCCATTGAGCAGTGAGGGATATTTATCGTACCAACTCCTGCAGTGACACGGGACCTCGGTTTTCAAGGTCTCATCCAAAGTACCCACAACTTTTACTTGCCGAGCGCTTGGCGAAGGAACAGTTGCTACCTATTTTTTATCAACTTAGGTCAGTCGCGGCTGAGATTCGAACTCACGACCTTTCGATCTCGGAGCAAGCGTTCTACAGACTGAACTACCGTGACACTACAGAAGAAACCGAATAATTTATAATATTTAGCAATATAAAACAAGGCCATCATTGTATTATTTTTTCATTAATGATAAGTTAGAATTTATAACACTCCTGTTTACTACCTTCAGGCAAGAACAAAGATTGTTTAACCATCCCAAAGAAAAAATCCAGGTCGGAAAGGAAAGGATGGTGTATATACAATTTATCCGGACGGAATACAAAAGAAAAATGTTTATTGTGACATGACAACAGAAGGAGGGGGTTGGAGGGTGAGGGATTATGTCTTCATTGTTTTACTTTAAATTCACAATTTGTAAGATTTCATCAAATTATATCAAAAGAAATTAAGTTTCCATCATTTTTTATTAAAGATTATACAGAAAAAACTAGACGGCAGTACAAATTACTACAGTCGTTGGTGTAAATATAAAACTGGCCTTGGAGATCCTAGCAAAAACCTATTGGATAGGTATGATGATTACCGTAACGATTTATCAAGTCATCACATATGAGGTCTGGGACAAGCACAGTGTCATCAAAATAAAAAAAAATGTTTTCATAAGTCTTCCCTAATTAAGTATGCATATTTTTCACCCCTACCAATGTTATTGTTATTTAAATTTACATCACGTGGTTTTTCTTGAACTAGTCAAAGGTCATTAGGTTCGCAGTGAAAGAAAACCTTAACACCTATAGTCTGTTTTCTGTATAAAACTCATGACATACCAGTTTCGAGTAATACGGCCTTTACATATATAACTATATAAACAATTTCACCCAGTTTCCGAAACAGATCCACGCAAAAGTCATTGTCAGCCTTTACAATATACCAATATACATGTATATATACTTCTTCTGACTTTCAGCATTCTATTCATTTGCATTTTCTACCGTGATAAATATTATTTAATTCCTTGAGAAATATACATCAAACTTAATATACATGTTACGAATGTAAACAAGATTTTTCTCATCTAATAAAACGGGTCCAATATCCCCTTCCAGGCACGGGGAGAGAGAGAGAGAGAGAGAGAGAACTTGGAGATCCCTGGGATTTTCAGAGCTATTTAAAATTTAATGAATTGTATAAAGTACATGTAACTTAAATGACTAGGATCCTCCTTGGAACCATGGCCCCCTACACATGACATGTTGGTTACAAGTCATTTACGTGGAGGAAATTAAAGCACCTTGTTCACGCGGGGGGGGGGGGGGGATTGGAGCTCTCTGGATTTTCAGGGCTATTTATGAAATTTAATGAATTTTAAAGTTAATGTAACTTAAATGACTAGGATCCTCCTTGAAACCATGGTCCCCATACACATGGCAAGTTGATTAGAAAAGTCATTAACATGAAGGTAGTTCATACGGGGGTTGGGGGGGTTGGGGGGGGGGGTTGGGTTGGAGCTCCCTGGGATATTCAGAGCTATATATAAAATTTAATGAATCATAAAGTATATGTATAACTTAAATGACTTGGATCCTCCATGGCAAGTTGGTTAAAAAACTCATTAACATGGAGGAAATTAAGCATCTTATTCATGAGTAGTGCCCCCCCCCCCTTTCCAATATTTTTTTTCATCTTTTTCCCCTTATCTTTAGGGCTTTATAAATTTCCAGGGCATCCAGGATTTTAATGGAAGGCATGGACGGATCCAGGAATACGGGGGGGGGGGGGGGTTCATGGTACATATCCAAACTTCCTGGGAAGAATTATAAAGCCGTAAAAATAGGGAGTGAAAAAATGAAGTATGAAAATGCCAAAAAAAATCTTTTTTTTTAATTGGCAAACTTTATGGGTTTTTTAGAGAGATCGAGAAGGGGAAAGGTCTTTAGAACCCATACAAGCCTTTTCTGGATTTCCAAAATGAACTTGTCAATTCAGTGGTCTATCTTTGAATTTGAAAAAATATTGGTATTTCTAATGAAAAAAAGTATCAAATGAACATTTTGGCAAGAAAAAAAAATCTATACCGAAGGAATGGTGTTCTGAAAGTAAAATATTTTCTGCAAGACACACAAAACAACTTTAAATCTGGAGGGCTGGGGTTCTCGGGTTTTGCAATAAATTACCATACCATTCTAGCCTCTCCCTTTTAAATCTGGCTGTTATATGTAGGTGTCAGTTGATCAAATTGATCCATGATCCTACTCATATCTTTCTGAATATATCAAAATACCCCCTCCCTCATGTCAAGGTGAGCAAAATTCTTCACATTTCTATTAAAAAGAATATTATTGTGCTTTTACCATAGAACTAAGGGCTGTTTAAAGTTAAAAATCTAGAATATATGCATGTAGGGTTCATTCTACAACCATTAAAATGAGGTCATACTTGGGAAAAGATCCAAGAAGATGTTTTCTAAATATTACCATGCATATACATTTTTTCTACCCATTTTCCCACTCTGTGAAATATTCTGAACCCAGTGCCAAACACTGACCACAGCTCCAATGAACAGGGTTCAATATATATGTATATGATGATATAAAAATGATTACTGTTTAATAATGGCACAGTTTATTTCAACATAACTTAATACTTGAAAGTAATATAGATGCTTTACACAACAAGGACAGTAAATATAAATAAATTTAAGTTTTTAAGCTTTCAGTGTAACAGTCATACATGTCATTTACACTAAAAGTTATTTAAAAATTTTCCACTGTGAACAAGGGAAATAACTCTGGGAAGATCAATAATTTGTGTGGAATACAGATATGTCTTGATGTCTTGATAGTAGCAATTTCATTTGTGATATAAACATGTATTTAGGACATATACTATGCTTGAATTAAAATCAACAGAGTTTAAAACAAATTTTAAACCTTTCCCACTTTCTGAAATAATGTTTACAGAAAACGCACTACAAATCTATCAATGATTAAGGGAGATAATTCAATAAAAAGCAATATGGGCTGCAATCTTCATGTTAAAAATTTCTTTTTTGTTGCAAGATTATAGTTTATTACTACAGTACAGAAAAAAGAAATGACTATAAACTTCTATTATATATATTTACATTGAAAGGACTTTTTGGAAGTTCTGGTCTGGTTGACAAAAAAAAATTACATCGTTAGGCCTGTACAAAAAAATTGATTCCTATATAACATCTATATACTTTTGATGAATTAAAATAAATTTTCTTTGAATAAAATTTGTAATACTTTTATATTACCATTATTTTTAATTTTGCTGATCATAAAAGTTTAAGCTACATGCAAATTAATGATAATTCCATATTTTAAAATCGTAGTAAAATTCTTTAAAAATACCTCATATTGCTTATGCACTTGTAAAATTATTTTAATTATGTTTGCTGATGGTAAAGACATACAGTACTAAATCAGGCAAATAGATTTAAAATCCAGAATTAAAATGTGCCACTCCTTCTTATGAAAGTTTTTGATTTTTTTGACTGTCACAGTAGTTAATTAAGGTGCATTAATGAAAAATAAAAATATCACATGATGTTTTCTATTAACAAGAAGCAAATGAAGAATAGTAACGATATGAAAAAATAGACAACAGGAACAATAAATAAACTTCCTGAGATTAATCAAGTAACACCCTTCACTATCCATATATGGTAGCAGGGTACTAAAAACCATGTACTAGGTAACAGCTATTACAATACATGTACATTCAATGAGAGGGCAAAAAACCCCAAAACATTGCAAACTTTACAGAGTTAATAAGCCATGTAAACAAAATACATATATTTAGAATTCATTGTCAACCACTTTTTAAATTGATCAATATCATTTCAACCAGAGGATAAAATCATTCAAAATTGATCACCATATTCTGGATTCAATTACATCAGTGTCTGCTAGCATGTGTTTCATTCTGCTATTGTCCTTTTTTAATCTTCTGACTGTTAGTACACAAATAAAGGTCTCAACTGGAATCTTAAGGCAGTGCTGATGCTGTCTTCTTTCATAAATGCATGATCTAGATTTAAAAAAAAACAAAACAAACAAAATTTTTACCAATTCAAAAGATTATACATTGATCACATCAGTCTGTTCTTGTATTTCTCAAATCCAGTAGCTTAATATCTGCACAATAGGCCTATGGACCATGATGCTCATCTGAGACATATCAAATGAAGATGAAATATGACCATAAATTTAAACCAAAAGACCAAGAAATGGGAGGAATTCCACATTTTTATTCACAAATCATTCATGTATCCACCCTTACATACTGATTTGACATTGTCTACATATATTTTTCACAAAGAAAAATAATTGTACCTAATATTATGACTTCTATTTTTGCAAGACTCTGACCTAAAGAAGTTAATTATCTGAATCTGCAAGTTTTTGCATATTAGATTGTAACTGTGGCCATTTAGTCTAACCATTCTTCTGAGATTGTTTTCCTTTCAACATGTTCAAGTTGGATGATTTATGACCTCAGCCATGGCACTTAACCAAGAATTTCAAATTCACTAATTATCACTTTAAATTCTTGAAGAAAAATGCAGATATCATTCAAAATCTTGAGCCATCCTGCCCCATTTGAGAAATAAATTCCACATCCAATTAAAAAACACTGAACATCCTCTACACATACATTTAAAATGTTCATTATGGAATTAAATGAGCAAAAAGTGAAGCATTCTGCCAATTAATCCATCATTTCATCCAATCAACTTCTTAAAAAAAAAGATTTTAAAATTTCATTGTGGACAGAGGGGATACATTACTTAAATAATGCATGTATTGAATCTTTATCTATATATGCATTATCATTCCATATATTTACAACAAATCAACAATTTTACCATTATTACCCTGTCCAACTTAACAAGTACCTTTTAAAGGGCTCCTTTCCTCATCCTTCCGAGTAGTTTTAATATCCACATCCACACTGATTTCAAAGCTTCTTTAACTGTCATAAATACCTAAAAAAAACAGAGTAAAATATTTAGGCATTTGAAATAGTGTGTATTATAATAGTTTACTTTATAATGCTATGATTACTACATAAAGGAATTGTCGCCCACGTGGCGCAGTGGTAGAGCGTCTGCTCTAGAGTCGCAAAGTAAGGAGTTGATCCTTACATCGTGGGTTTGAATCCCACTGTGGGACGTGAAGACCGGTCCTTCGGATGAGACCGCATAAACCGAGGTCCCGTGTCACAGTAGGTGCTGGCATGAAAAAGATCCCTCACAGCTCAATGGCTGTAAGTGCCGAGTATAGGACGAAATTTGCAGCTCTCCACCGGCAAGTGGTGGCGTCTCCATATGAGTGAAAAATTCTCAAGAGGGACATTAAACAACATACAAAAAAAAAAAACATAAAGGAATTAATTCAAGTTAATGAAGGTCATGTTTATGAACTTTATTAAGCAATTGTTGACAGTGGTTAATTTTGTAATTGTCTGGATTAAAAAGCTATGAAGTGACAGAAAGCATTTACATTTAAAATATTCATTTGTGCTTTGTGCACTTTGAATTTTTCATTAGATATGCCGTTACACCCTACCAGTACTTTACTGTACATGTACTAAAAACTGGATTTTTCTCAAACTATATATATTATTTTCTTTTAATTACATTTAGAGATTTAGAGGGACTTGAAAAGATTTGAAAAAAGAAAAATCTAACATAATGATAATTGTTTAAACATATATCTGTCAAATTTAAAACAAAAATGATTAATAATTACTCAAGACCCATGGCTCACCTGAATCACCTTGGCCCTGCCCCCTTTTTTCATGAAATATTTTATTTTTTACCCCCTATTGTAGTCCACCCTTCCCCTATGGTCTTGCTTTGAACAACCTTCAATCTGCACTACCTAAGAATGCTTGTATATATTTTATATCATTCTGATCATGGCCCTGGAGTTCTTACAGATTTTCCCATGTCAAATAAAATGTAAAAATTGTATCTTTATTGTGGCCCTACCACAGTTCCCTACCCTCATAACCCTCCAGGACAATGATGTTAACAAATCAGTGCTACATGTATATCAGGGAGCTTTCATGACTGCAAGTCTGTCTTATTGAAAAGAAGATTCTGAAGTAACCCAATCATACTTATTTATTATTAGTATTTCCCTTTTAGGCAGCATTGCCCTTCATTTGAACTTTAATCCTCTTCATTCAAGAATACTATAATTGTGCCAAGTTGGTTGAAATTGGCCTGGTGGATCTGAGGAAAAATTACAAAGATGACAACAAGGGCAACAATACTCACAATGAATACCGGTACACCAATACACAACAGACAAATTTCAATCAGAAACTCCCTTGAGCCTCTGGCCCTAGGGACTTTACTTTTAACAAATCTTTCATATGTACATTGAAATTACCTCTGTATCTGATGTGAGTGGGATACGTCACTTGAACTAAGGGTTTTGTTCACAGTTATATCTGACTTGTGCAGAGGCATCTTGTAGATGACCGATTGTCTAAATCTATATACCACAACTGTGTTTCAAGATAGAGGTATGGTGCGATCGAGGTGCAGCTCCAGAACTCTGTGAAATAACATTGCTGTAGAGACCTGAAAGTTAATTATGGTCAATGTTAAAATGTTATCAACATGAGGGCAAAAGTTGTAAAACATTGCATAAATCCCTTTGATATAACTTGACAGTCAAGATCTAATAAAAATAATGTCTTTTTGATGCTAGATCCATTATGACATCATAATTTTTTCTCTACTTTATGGCTATAATAACTATATGTAGAAAATGAAGTATTTTCATGGATTCAATTTGAATCATGTCAAAAGTAACCATTATACCTATATACATGCAGTTTAATATCATTTTAAAGCAGAGGTGATGAAAATATGGGAAAAAAACATTTTCTGAGAGACTGCATGTCGGCAATCTTGATACATTTCTTTGGTCTGAGGTGGAAAAGGAAACTTCCATACTTATACCTGATTTTCTTCATTTTTCATTGAAGATGGCAGTTTGAAATACCGGTATGTTTTATCGCTAGCTGAGTTTACCTAAAAGTTTTGTCCCAATACACCTTAATTTACAGAGCTATAGTTGTAAAGGATCATTAAAAGATTGAATTTATTTCTAAAGGGAACCTTTCGTTTACTAGATCTAGACCTTAATAAAATCTGTGAAATAGCACATGAAAAATCAGTACTAGAAAAACAGCTAGCTTGTGTATAGATTTGCATAATAGCTGATATGTCAGAAGTAAATTGGTGCAGATTTTATTAATCATCACAGCTGAACCCTTTGAAATTAGTTTCTCAGTGTACAAACTTTACTTGTAGCGCAGCCGGTATATAATGCTACAAAACAGCTTACACAATTTAAGAAAAGTCTACATTTATATTTATAGTTTTGTTAAAGTAATAACTTCAGAGATGATAGTTTTTAAACAAATTTTATAAAATTGAACATGTACATGTGTATTGTTATACAGGATTTGAACATGTTAAAAATAATCTATTGGTCGTAATCTTAATTGTGCTCTTCATTGCTGTGTAAAAGATTATTTTCCTTTTTATTTACTTAAATAACTACAAGCACATAGCTACATATACAGTCAAACCTCATTATAATGAACTTGATAAGACCGAGAAAAAACTTCAAGATATCCAAGGATTAGAGATATCGAGGGTAAAATACTTAAAGAATAAGTAGTTGGGACTTCCAAATTACTTTGACATATCCATGGTGTTCTAGATATCAGTGTTCCAGATACCAAAGTTCAACTGCATTTATCACTAAAATCTTAAAATGCGTACAAGCACACATGCAGATTCAGGTGGAAGCACTAGCCCCCTCTAAAACAAAAAAAAAAGTGTTTCAGATATGTTTTATACATATAGTTTTCACTTTCATATCAAATGATGTAATAAAGGTAAAATTAGAGTCATTTATATGTCAAAATAAGGTTCTCTAATTGCTTATTCTCGTGAGCTTCAGGGGCTTTACCCCCACCTAACACTGTCCTTGACCCTCTGGGGATATAAGTTGTCCCAAGACCCCTCCCTTGCTAAAAGTGCCTCTCTTACTAATGGAAAATCCTGCATTTGTGCCTGTAAAAGTCAATTATTTTAATGAAAACTCAGGTAATGATAAGTAATATATGTAATGCGGATTGTAACAGCTGTGAGATTAAACATCTTTTACATTCAAGTAATCATATTCTCTTCATAATACTTTGTTCACATTTAATGTCCAGGGATAGACATTAACTTTTAGTTAGCTTTTAACGTTTAGATCTGAAACTTTGACTTGTCCGAATGCAAAACTTGGTTGCCCAAAATAAGGAAAGAACTTCAGAATAAATTTTTATTACTGTAAATATTATGACAAGAAAAAATGTGACCAAATACACTACTGTCAATTTGGCAAGGTGAGGTACCTGAAAAAATTTGTATGATGCGTTTGTACATAAATGTATACCACTGTCCTTGTAAGTTTAGCCTGTTAACACACACTGCCATATATAGCAATAACGCTCCGTTTTATAAAATTCATGGGCCCGTTTTTCAAAAGAACTTACGACTAAGACCGAAAAATTAAATTGATTGTAAAATTTTGCAAAATAAATGATTTTGTTTAAAATTGCTAGCGTAAAAATATCTTACTCCATTCCTTTCAAAAAGATTAAAACCATTTTTAATATAATGTAAGTTAAAAGGTTACAAGCAGAATTAAATTTTGGTCTTAGTCGTTAGTTCTTCTGTAAAACGGGCCCCATATTTTTAACTTATTTTCGGTAGGATTCTTTTGTGAATCGTGATTTTCTGAGATAACTGTGAAACAACGCTGAAGGAAGATTGTTGCTACGTAACATACATCGATCTTTACCTTATTGATCAGGATACATCGTGTTACTCTGTACTTATATTCTGTGAGTGAATAAATAATCTAATATCCAAATTTCCGGAGATGTTAGACGAACAGCATATTTACCAGGGGAAAAAAAGGAATAACGAACCGGATTTTCTAATGAAAGGTATAATCCAGAAATGCTGACAAGGAATTCCGAATGCAAAAACAATGTCAGTCAGGTACCTGGCAGAAATCAAGTCTTCATTTTATTGGGTATTTTTTAAATATAAATTAATGTAAACGAAACAAATATGTACATTTCTATGAGAAAAATTCACTTGCCCGATCGGACAAGTACGTCGTAAGATTCACTTGCCCAAACTGAGAAATTACTTGTCCCGGGCAATCGGACAACCGTTAATGTCGATCCCTGACGTCTGCTGCTGGTTACCGTACATGCAAATATCTAACTTATTGTAAGTATTAAAAATATTTTGGTGCAAAGCTAATTAATGAATATGGTATTAGATATAGATGGGATATGGAATTTCCAGAATATTAAACCTTACCCCTCAACAAAGAAACTAGAAAATCATTATATATTGAAAGCACAATGTCTGCAAAATGTTTCAGGTTTAGAAATAAATTTGATAACAATAACACATGAATTAATTAGAATATGAATCTTTAATTCTTTAAAATATGAGAGTCATTATGATCTAGTTTTGAGTTTACCAGGCTTTATCACATTTTTGTTATATACCAGTACCTTCAGAAATTATTTACTATTAATATAAATTCATCCTAAAAAAGTCAAACATTTTCAATGTTTTATTGAGCAGTCTGTCGAAAATCGATGTTTGACCGCAGAGTGAGATATTGGACGTATCGATTAAATATTCGACTGATGTGTCAGATAACTCTTATTTGCATTTGTTGGTGTTTGACAGAGACGAAATAGACCAAGTTAAACTGCAGTGCGGGTAAAGGAAAATTACATCATAGAAGCCAGAATAAGTTACATGTTAATGAAGCGTATACAGTGTAACAAAACATTATAATTATTGACTGTGTTCTCAGGCAGAATGCATTTCGTCGATCCTCAAACCAAACTGTCTGCCTTCAGCCTAATGGCCTCAGGCAAAGAGTTTGGTTCGAGGGTTGACAAAATGCATTTTGCCCGAGAACACAATCATGAGTCAATAAATGTATATAATGTTCACTGCATTATGATGTCTCTTTGCTGAATATCATGTGGACAAGTGGGCATAGTCTGGAGTAAGCTTTAGCTAAGCAACTAAAATGTTACTATATAATTTTTCATTTATTTTATATTTAATTTTTGAGAGAGAGAGAGACCAGTGCTTATTAATGTGTGTTCACCAGCTGATCACTTGACAGAGATGTTAACATTGGCCACTTCTTGCAATTTTTAATGTAACACTCATTTTGTATTCATTCAAGCATTTTTTTTTACACTGTTATTCATATTATACATGCAATCAACTGAGAAATTGCATTTACCAGTATAACTGTGTGTATCAGCTGTTGCAAAAATTAAAACAGACTATAACATTTTCTGCACATTGAATGAGTTTTCCCTTTTTCAATACTGTGGTAAAATATTTCACAACACCTAGAACATCATCAATTATTTTAGTATAATATTTTAAAAACATTGAAAAGCCTTATATATTTTTATAGCTCAAAATGATTTTTCTTCTTCCACCACGTGGAGGCATGTAAACAAAGGACGATAACTCTAAATGTATCTGATTTAACGTTTCTCACTTCAAGTGTTTGAGGCGATAGAATGCGAGAAATAAAGACTAAATGAATCAATTTTTATGTGCAAAAGAATGTTAAAGTGATTAAAGATAAATAAAATGAGCTATACTTACGTTAAACGCATAAATCCAAAACCACACATCCAGTTCCTGTATAAATCTTACAGGAACTGGTGCAGATCTCGTATAGTCTCAAGGCTGGTCTCGTTAGAGGTCAAATCGCGCCCTCGGATGTTATGCTACACTTAACAACGATAAAGAATATCATCCGAACACATTGGTAGGGGTGTTTTTTTACGATACTCATATTTCACCTTTATCGAAACACTGTTTACAATATCGTGTAAAGGTTGATTTAAATTTTCTAAAGGGTGAATTTTATATATACATATAAAAAAAAACTCTGAAACCTTTCATTGTTGTAGGTAACCTAACTGAAATTCTTATCAAGTACACCAATTTTCTGTAAGTGCAAATAATGCAACATAAAAAGCTACAAATTATGCAGAAATTGTAATACTTCTCTTGTTTATATAGGAATTAAATAATGAAGAAAACGAACAGTTTTCAAGCTCAAAGTCAGTTTAAACAATACAAATTGGGAGCAGAACAAACACAGACCTCCCAAAACATCAAAAGTGGGATCAGGTGCCATGGAAGATTGAGCATCCCCTGCCGACCGTTCATAATCGCCCAGTGATCGTTGCCATGAGTAAAAAAATGGGAAAATTTTGAAATAATGCCCTAATTAAAGCTATAACCTCAGTCAGCATTTGACTTCAGACCAGACAAGTTCCTCAATAATCTATAATATTCCCAAGAGTTTGTCATTGAAGTATATCAATTTACTTCACAAAAAATTGAGGTACCTTACCAGGCATTTGTGCAAGATACCAGAGGGTGGTGTTTCCTGTAAAATACTTTTGGTTATGTTTTGAATTGCCAACTTTACAATTTTTGGTGTACTTATTATTTAAGATATTTTGAAAACAATTTAGAAATCGCAACAAAATTACAATTATGAATATTTTTTATATACATTGTATTACGAAGAGATATAAAACAGATTTGTGCTGACTAGGTCATCGTATCGACCCATTTACTTGCAAAATGATGACATCAAAGAAAATTGACGATTGAAAAGTTGAAGTCATCACGTTTATCAAAATGTTTTTGTTAGGTCACTCTCATTGTCTTTTGCTTGTAAAATATCAAAATATGAAACAGATGTGTTAGGCTTATGAGATCTTTCATTTGATGTATAGTGAAATCACCTGTTAGAATTATTTGAGTATCGTCTTCTGTATCGAAGGCATGATTCACCTCCCTTGCTAGGTCCTCCGCCCAGCGGGAGGGGGCAGATGGTGGACGATAAGAAGAGCAATAAAATAAAAGGTTTTGAATATTTCAGATTAATCTCTAGCCAGATTCTCTCAATATTGCTCTTCGCAAAATCATTTCTACGTTTATATGCAATATCCCTTGCATAACTCATCAAAATACAGTTGATTTCCCTACTTGCTCAGTCAAAAATGATTCACAAAATCCTAAAATATCTAAAGATTGCCGATTTTTAGACATTTTAATCTCACCAATTCTAGGAATAATATAAGAAATATTTAAATTTTCGAAACGTATAATCCTGGGTCATTTTGTGTTTATGAAGTATTAATTTGAATAATGGTCACAAGAACAGGATTTTTTTGTTTGTGAAACAGATTTAAATGAGCTTGTCTTGATAGGAGTAATTAAGCAGGTTGTATAATGAAAAAGGTGATGATATCGAACAGTGAAACGACCTCAAAAATCTATAAACAATACAAATATGTCACGAGGACATAAAACGCATACCCCTAGAAATTCTTGAGGTGGAATCAGGTGCATAGGAGGAGTAAGCATCCCCTGTTGACCGGTCACGCCCGTCGTGAGCACTATGCCAAATAAAAAAATTCTCCAACATATCTATTTATAGATAAATGTTAGTTACTAAAATAGTCTTCAGATTCCACTGAGATTTTTTTTTACGAAAAGACACTTATTTCGTAGACATATTTTTCTTATCTGGCACTAAATGTCCCCAAAAACATCAATTTCCAATTTTTCACATTTTGAGTTTCCCTGTACAATCTTTTTCCTAGAGTGGGATTTTCTAGAAAAAAATACCCATGTATACCTTACAAGTTTATGTTATCTTCTGATAGAATATATTCATGTTTGAGTGTGTTACGTAAAGATAAAGCGTTCACAGTTCCTCAGTTTTCTTTTGGTAAAAAGAAATGGGTCAACATGGCCAAATTCAATGGTTCCATCTCAATAGGAAATGGTTGAACATGTGGGACTTTTGATGCCATATTTTGTAGTTTCTCACCAAGACGCACCTCGGATACAAATTTCATCCCGTCGTTCCGATTTTTTTGGGGGGGGGGGGTGCTTAAAGAAAATGCATGTAACATCTTTGCTCTTAAAATGACTACGTGAGCTTTAACATATTAGCTCCTAGACTGGTTATGTGAGTTTTCACTATCTTGTTTCTATAAAATATAAAAATGTCACTTAAGTTCTAAAGTTGCATATAATCCATTTATTTGAGGATTTTTCGTGACTGCCTTTTGTCATTTGCATTTAACGTTTTATATTGATACGCCCCTGGTCCGTTGACTAAGAGGAGTTGATTAAACCATTTACTCCCAAAAATCTAGCTTTGCACATCCCAAGGAAAATGAATTTAATAGCTTAATTGCTGATGTTATATCTCTCGCATGAATGGGGGACCTTCTAACGAATTCTTTACGAAGTTTTAGTCTAATAGAAACATTGGTCTCAGCAATCATAAAGTCAAAATGAAATAAACGTTTTTGGTGTAAAAGTTATTACATTGTACAAAGATCTAGTTTCTTAATGACTTGATATTCTAGAAGTCCCTTAAATATTCCAGATCCTCGGCTGTTTTCTTCATACTTGCGAAAATTGCATCTTGATTTCAAACAATGTTTGAATGTAACAATATTGTCGACCATGTCGTGTCTGAAACTGAACATCGCCTACATTGATTGCTCACGTATAGCATATTTTTACATTTCATTCTGATTAAGTGGACGAATCTGGCAATGTATCATTATATAAGCTGTAGGAAAACGAAACAAACAAAAATCAAGTAATTTATTTCCAACTTGTAATATATTCAATATACCAAAATTGTTTTGGTTTTCAAAGTGAATTATACTATATCGATTTTGTTTTTAAAAATAAATTTTTGTATCTTCCAAATATCTATTTAAAAAAAGGCAATTTCACATTTTTTCTCCTTTTGAAAAGATGATATCTTTGGAGAGTTTGTGGACAATACATGTGACATTTTTGTACTTCCCATCACAGAAAACAGTGGAGGACATCTTGGCTGCAACATCGTTTAGTATATACAGGAAGTTGGTTCTATTGCTTAAAAGCTGACCTTCACCGTACTCAGTTTTTACGGAATCGTGTAAATATATCCACATGAAGCTGCCCATGACTTGATTTCTAAAAGCATATTTTCCTGAAAAAGAAAGAAATATCACATTTCGTTTCAACAAGAGGTCCATAGGCGCTGCTGTCCACCGCGTAAGAAACATGAGTTTCTCTTCCTATGACCACTTTGGCCCAAACTATAATTTGTCTATACTTAAGTGACAAACATTTAACAGTTTTACATTGGCTTTGTTATCATTATCATATTCCTGAGGTTTGCCACTTAGAAAGTAAGAGGCTGAAGTAAAAGAAGATAAGATACACTGTTTAACAAGAGGCCCACGGGCCTTATAGGTCACCTGAGTATCATGTAACAACTTTCCAACAATTGACTTTGGTTCGTGTTTTAAACCTGAGGCCATGAAATTCAAAATTTTGAAAGAGGCACCATTGCTCATCATAACTATACACGTAGCATGCTTTAAAGTGTTTACTTAATACACAGAGGCATAGCAGGGGAAGAAAGAAAAAATGCATTTATATTCATCAGTAATTATCAGCAATAATCAGAAGTGCCCCCCCCCCCCCCGGAAACCCCTGACCCGGGGATACACATTTCACAATTTTGGAAAAGGCACCCTTGCTCATCATAAATGTTTAATTAATACCAAGGAGCAGATTTTAAAGCATTAATTCATTTTCAGTATATAATCATTAGAGCCCCCCACCCACACTACACCTGACCCAGGGGCCTTGAAATTCACAAACCTTGTTCATCATAACTATATACTTAGATCATCAGCATAATACCCAGGAGCAGAGGAAAAGATTTTCGAACAATTCATGCATTTCCACTATATTATCATTAGAGCCCCGCCCTAACACCAGAACCCTTGACCCAGGGGCCATGAAATTCACAATTTTGGAACAGGCATCTTTCCTCATCGTAACTATGTACATAGTTCATTGGTTTAATACCAGGGAGCAGAAGAAAAGATTTTCAAACAATTCATGCATTTTCACTATATAATCAATAGAGCCCCGCCCTAACACCACAACCCCTGACCCAGGGGCCATGAAATTCACTAATTTGGAAGAGGCACCCTTCTTCCTCATCATAATTATGTACAAAGTCCATTTGTTTAATACCCAGGAGCAGAGGAGAAGATTTTCAAACAAACCATACAGTTTCACTATTCACTGTTTAATCATTAAAGCCCCGCCCTAACACCAGAACCCTTGACCCACGGGCCATGAAATTCACAATTTTGGAAGAGGCATCCTTCCTCGTCATAACTATGTACATAGTTCATTGGTTTAAAACCAGGAGCAGAGGAGAAGATTTTCAAACAATTCATGCATTTTTATTATATAATCATTAGAGCCCCACCTTAACACCAGAACCCGTGACTCAGGGGCCATGAATTTCACAATTTTGGCAGAGGACTCAATTCTGGATACAATCATGCCAACAGTTTAACTGATTGATGTCCAGGAGTAAAGAAGAAGATATTTAAAGATTGCATTTATTTTGATGGTTTTAGCCCCAGTCCTCAGGTTCCAGGGGGGCAGGGGCCATGAAATTCACAAGTTTTACTTCCCTTCACCCATAGATGCTACATGCCAAAATTGGTTGTAATTTGTTCAGTGGTTTCAGAGAAGAAGCTGAAAATGTTTAAATGTTTAAACGACGCACGACGGACGAAAATAGATAGCTTGTGCCCCATCTGGGATCTGTTCTCTGGTCTATGGAGACATTTAAAACAATCTTTGTTAGAGGGTTAGCTGCTCAATATAATTCCGCAAACAATTATTCTGTTACATATGCATGAGTAGTAAAGATTTTCAAATTTGTCAATACTTTCAATGAATGACCCACTTGACCCCACGCAGTGGCCTTAACCATAGATCGGGGGGGGGGGGTTAAGGGAGTGTTGAACTTGGATTTGGATAGAGGTTTGACATGCAGAGTCATTTGAATACCAGATGACTCAGAGGTAAATAAAAAGATTTTTAAAGGTATATTTTCAATATAAGATCAAGGTATTCCAACTTAGGATCTGAAAGCTGGAAACAGTGAATAACTTTATAGCTGCAATAGAGAAGAAAATTTTCAAAATTATAATATATATTTTTTTAAGATATTTGATCAACTAAGCACAACCCTAGGGCATAAATCATACACCCTGGGGGTACAAATTTAATACTTTTTGAGAATGTTCAATGCTCAATAGAGTCATTTTAAAATTTGCCTGATACAGACATGTGCAAAAAGTATTCGATCAAAAATGGCGGCGTGTTTACGCTTGAAAACAAAATTAAAAAAAAAATTACCTTGTCCTGTTATTATCACATCATAGCAAGTAGATTTGTATAAATTTAGAGAATTTAGTCACATGGTAAATCACGTGACGATATTTTCGTCTATTGTTTACAAATTAATAGTAAATATATCAAACTTAAAAAGATGCGTCGGAAAGGTAAAAAGAGATGGGGTCAGATGTCAAAACATCATCGTGGACTTAATGCAGAAAGATTATTCTCGGAGAAAAATAAGTGAAATGTTACAATTACCTAAATCATCTGTTATTGACGTTTGTCGAAAATTTCTGACACGGGTTCGATCGAAAACAAACTCAGAAGCGGACGACCTCCAAAAATCGAGCCCCGTGACTATCGAAAGTTAGAGAGGATTGTGAAAACAAATCGTAGATGTTCATTTTCTGATATAACGGCAAAATTTAACGAGGAAAGACTAGAGGACAGCACAAACATAATTACAGGAGAGATGTTACCAAGAAGAAACTGGTTATAAAAGAAATAAATCATAAGAAGCGGCTTGTTTGGTGTCGAGGGAAGACGATGGTCAGTTGAGGACAGGAAGATGATGTTCTTTTCAGATGATTGTAAAATTATAATGGGACATAATGAAAGAATTAGGATTGGAGAAAAAAGAACGAAGGATGAAGGCCGGACTTTGTTCAGCAGAGGACTTCTCAAGCCAAAAGCGAAGTTATGATATGTAACGCATCTGCAGGGAGAGTGTTGGAACTATGACACCAGAATAAAGAAATATCAATACTAATATAAATATGCATATCAAAATATCTTAGAAGAAAAGCTTTGGCCTGTTCTTGTAAGACATTTCCCTCAAAATGGTTACTATTTTCAGGATGACAATGCACCCGTCCAACGTGCCAGGTCAACTCAAGCGTATGTAGCTAGAAATCAAATTAACTCTTAATGCTGACGTGCTCAATCACCAGACTTAAATATTATTGAAAATGTTTAAATTGGTTACACATCAAAAGAAAACTTCAGTCACGCACTGCTGCAATAAAATCTAGAGACAAAATCTAGAGACAATTTGATCACGCCTGTTTACATTAAAAGCTTATATGGATCCATCACCAAGCTATTCAACATGTAATAAGACTGAAAGGACACCTTACGAAGTATTTAATCGTAAGTAATTGATTTTTCTTTTAATTTTCAAAGCATTTTCACTGAAATTTTAGCTCGTAGATTTCTTCATACTACTCCGTGCTCAGTGTAAACACGCCGCCATTTTGACCGAATACTTTTTGCACGTGTCTGTAGATGTCCATGAGCAAAGAAGATTATAAAAGACATAATGCATTTCCAGTAATTGATCATCTAAGCCCTATTTTAAAGCCCAAACTCTGTACCAGAGAGCCATTAATAGTTTCACAGTTTTGATAGAGGACTAATTGCTCATTATAGTTAATCAAACACTTTAACTGATTGATGTTTTAAGAGGAAGTGGAAGCTTTTGAAAAGATGGTTTTGCTCCACCCCCGAGGCCCTAAAGAGACGAAGAAATTCGCAACATATATTCCAACTTTACCTGTTGATGCTATGTACCAAAATTCGATAAAATAGCCTCAGTCTTTCCAAAGATCACAAGTTTTGCATGACAAAAAAGGGGGGAAAAAACCCAGACAGCAATGGGTCACCTGAGAGACATAGATGTCCTACATGTACAAATATACTTATTTTCAATTATCAGTATCATTCTGAGAACGGAAGATAACAAGAAAACAAAGTAAGACATTTTGTCATTTGTCTCTAATTTTTTGATGTTGCTGAGGAACAAGGAGGTGAGATAAGCCTATCAACTGATCAAAAACAGGATATCCATATATGTAATTGACTAATTCAATTACTGCCTTTTTAAATTCCTAACTAAAAAGGAATTCTTATATTTAAAAAGTGATAATTATAACTTGTTTTATAGTCTGACCTTCAGGAGAAGCAAACATGATCAGCATATCATTGTGACAAGGAACTGCTGTAATGTGGAGTAGAGCCTGTGATGGTTGATATCGAATAGCACGAGGAGCGTCTGGATCATCACTTAATTTCCCAATTTTTGTTGCTGTTGATAAAACATCTTCGGAATTACTCTGGCTATCCCCCATCTCGCAGTCATCAGAAAAAGATTCCTAAATTCAATGGGTCAAAGCTAGAGCAAAGCTGTTAAATATCTTTAAAGTCTGTAGAAAAACTGCTTTTGAATTTGAGTCGTTTTTATTTTATCAAAGTGAGAGATCTTTTTCATTTCAGCATCTAATGCGACACGGGACCTCGGATTATACGGTCTCATCTGAAGGATCGGTCTTCACTTCCCACAGTGGGATTCGAACCGGCGACGTAAGGATCAACTCCTTACTCCGCGACTCTAGAGCAGACACTCTACCACTGCGCCACGCCGGCGACTGTATACCGTTCGTAACATTGACTCTATTTCGATTGAGAAAAAAAAAACTTGTCAAGCAAACGTAGTCTTTCTTGTCAGCTAAAATTATGGTGATTCTGATATTAGCATTCTAAAAAGTTAAGAGAGAAATGTGCTGATTATTGGTTGGTTACAACAACAAACCCTCGAATCAGATTCTGAAGTTGCACAGTTTTGGCAGATGCTATTGTTTTATTGACTGTGATTAGAAACCTACCATTGCAGTATCAGCAGCATCTTCTCCCACCTCTGATAAAATCTTTGGATCAGAATCTAAAACTATTTAGAAAGTATTCCTCTTTAATTAATCTCCACAGGCATTCATTTCACACACACACACACACACACACCCTCACACACATACACACACGTTTTTGATAAATTATCTTCTGCAGAAATAAAAACCAAAAAAATCTTTTTATTTTTCTTTAAAAGAGATTACGTTATGTTTCTGTTTTGAACCTTCGCTTTTTAGGCAATTGAACTCCTTTCACAGCATCTGGTATTGAAATTAACATTGTATGGGATACATATTTTTAATGCATAAGAAAATCCATTCAAAGGGATACATAAGATGTGTTCTTCTTTCTTGCAATATAACCTAACCTTCATGATCTGTCTTGTCAAGTTTTCTTTTCTTTTTGGATGGTTCCTCCTGACTCAATTTTTGTAAACAGACACCTTTATCGAATCCAATTCCCTGAGCCCGGTATATTTCAGATGACATACTTATAGGAATTCTACAAGCCTAAAACACATGCAATTACGTCATTTTAAAGAATTTCAAAGGAACTATCCATAAAAGAAACATATCTAATTGATAAAATATTAGTACTTTTCTAAATGAACGAGTAATTGATGTACATAGTTGAGGTACATACATTAATGTTCTCTTTATTTTGAAAAAAAAAATTTATATATATAGAACATTATAAACAACAACAATAAACTACTTCTAAAAGGTTGGAGGTTTCCAATTTTCAAGGAACGATTCGATTATTAACTTCACTTGGCTGTCTCTCAGGGCACTTTCAATAATGTACGGTTGACTTATTTCTTTTATATATATTTCATAAACATGTTCCCTTTTGATTTAATAAAAAGATTACAGGTTTGTACTGCATTTAGATGTTTAAAACGATATATCAACATTCAGTGTATTTTTTCCTACTAAATCCATTGGAAATCTACGATGTCCAAATCTCTATAACACACACTAATCCTTGTCACTGCGTGGTAGAATACTCAGTAGAAACGGTATTGTATTTGTCGGCACGGTCAGGTTTGTTATAAGACCGACGATGTCCAAAAATAAGAATTCAATGTTTAAGAAGATCACGAAGAGTACTTGATTTTAAAATATCAAAATTCATGTAAAGCAAAATGAAATCTAAAGATGGCAAAAGCACAGAAGTTTGAGAAATACCAGGGATTAAAATATGTTGTTTAAAAATAAAAAAAATCCCCTGTCGACCTTTCACATCCGCTATGGACTCTCTTTTTGATTGTAAAAACGGAGTAATCTATAAGGAATATAAGGATAATAACAATGGCCTAAAAATTGATATGAGATTTGAAATGGACCATGAAATGGGTCTTCGACTATTGATTTTGCAAAATATGGATTTAAAGCTGAACACAATTCGTAAAAGGAATTTGTCCGCCGTATTCTTTTATTCACTCGCTAAATCAGAGGGTCCCTATATGAGCCGCTCACACAGTCAATGTACTATTCAGTGTAATAAGTTTTCACCTGTGTAGATAGACGGACGTATGATACATAGCTTTCGGTAGCGACACAAAATAACTGTGTACTTCTTCCTAGGCAGGAGAGAAAGATAACAAAGAAACTTACAAAAGTTGCAAAGATCGTGCAGTATACAAACAAATACACGTAACTGCAATAAAATAATGACAACATCTATTAATTTAAAAAATAGATGAGTTTATTGAAGAAAGACAACAGTGATGGTTTTACAAGCAAAGGGTGATAACTTGTACAACTAGCTTACTTAACGTCAGTCTTCGAGTAGGCGGGGAAAGGTAGTGTCATATAACGCGTTCTCAAACTAAATTTCCCTCTTTCTGATAACACACAGCCCTCGGGAAAGTTGATTTCATCACAAAGGAATTATAAAGAGAAGAAATTTAGACAAAAAATTTGAAGAGCTGTAAAAATGTTGAGAGCAAGAAAACAATCTGTGGCTGCTAGAGCGAAACTGAATGAAACCACAAAAGGAAAACGTGGTTGAAAGGAGAAAACCGAGGTCCCCGCCAAAAAGCCGAAGGTGGCCCAAGCAAAGGAAACACAGTCAGAGGAGAATGCTTCTTTGTCGGGTGAGGAAGTTTTACTAAATATACAAGAAACTGATTGTTCAGAAATGCCAAATCCATTAGTTAGCGTTAATGATTCCTTGGGTTACAATGTCTCAGAAAGTTTGAAACAAAAAATAATTGCAGGTCATTATGTTGATTTGGCACAGTTATTGACAAATACGAATTTAATAGACTCCCAGGAAAAAACTATTGTTTTTAAAAATGGGGAATTGGTCACTAAAGCAAAAAATGAAAAAAAGATAGATGATATAGCTAAGTGGACAGATGCGTTTATAATATACATGGGAGTCTACATAACTGCTCATCCTTCAAAGGCTACAGATTTATTAAAATATATGCAAACAGTTAGGACTGGGGGTATGAGACATGGAGGTCTGGGTTGGAAAAGTTGTGATGAACAGTATCGACTTAAAAAGAGCAAGAATCCCACAAGTAGTTGGGGGGTAGTCGATTCCGAACTTTGGTTGCTTTGCATGCTTGGTAAAGAAACAGAAAACAGCCAGGTCTCAAGACCATCTGGCAGGCAAAGCATGTCATCTTCTAAATGTTACGACTACAATTTTAAGGGAAGCTGTTTTAAATTTCCGTGTACCTACAATCATATCTGCATTAAATGTAACGGAGCACACCCGTTTTATAGCTGTCCGATAAATAATTCTGGGAGTTTTCGTACCCAAATGCAAAACCAGCCTCAACAAAACCAAACAGGTGTATTTCCCAGGTTTCCCTACGCGCGATTCAACAGACCAAGTATTAGAGCAAACAATGTTAGATCAAATGGTCAACGATTTATGGGCCCTAGGCAAAACGCCAATTAAATCTGACGTTTTGGAGGAATTATTGATTGGGTATCCTAAAAAGAAAGTAGCAGTAGAATTATATGAAGGTTTTACTAAGGGTTTCAAAATACATTATACCGGTCCGCGATTTCATGTGTTTTCAAAAAATCTTCTTTCGGCTAATGATTACAAAGTAGAAATTAGGGAAAAAATAATGAAAGAAATTAAATTGGGAAGAATTATGGGTCCTTTTAAATATTTACCAATCTCAAATATGCGCATTTCCCCCATCGGGGGAGTACCAAAATCGGATGGCTCAATTAGACTGATAACACATTTATCATACCCTCAGAAAACAAGCGTTAATGATTTTATCAGCGATGAGTTTGCTTGTGTGAAATATTCTTCGTTTGATAAAGTAATAGATATGATTGCAGATTTGGGAAATGGGGCGCTTATTGGAAAAATGGACATTAAATCGGCATTTCGCCTTTTACCACTGAATCCGGGAGATTTTGATTTGTTTGGTTTTTATTTTGAAGATAATTACTTTGTAGATAAATGCCTACCTATGGGTTGTTCGGAAAGTTGTAATTTATTTGAAAAATTCTCCACGTTTTTGCACTGTAAAATTGCTGATATAACAGGAATAAAATCTTTAGATCATTATCTAGACGATTTCATTTTTGCGGGTAGGAATAATACAGATGATTGCAAAATCTTAATGAACAAATTTCAAAGAATGTGTTCAGACTTAGGTGTTCCAATTGCTCATGAAAAAACTATAGGACCGGTCCAGGTATTAACTTTCCTTGGGTTAGAAATAAATACTTTGCAAGTGCAGGTAAAGGTGCCAAAAGAAAAACTCAATTCGCTGCGTGACGCGTTAGAATGTTTGTTAGGGAGGAAAAAAGTCACACTTAAGGAAATGCAATCTCTAGTAGGAGGTTTAAGTTTTGTGTGTAGAGCTGTACGCCCAGGTAGAGTTTACCTAAGAAGGTTTTATGATGCTTTGTCAGGAATTCGGGCACAACATCATCATATCCGTATTACAGAAGAATTGTCAGACCACTTAAGAACGTGGTTAAAATTTTTGGTCAATTTTAATGGGACACTTTACTTTCCAGAAAGTTATTGGTCAAGTAATCATTCTCTAGAATTATATACAGATAGCGCAGGGTCATGTAAGTTGGGATGCGGGGCGTATTTTGCTGGAAAATGGGTGTACTTTGCCTGGCCAAGACATTGGCATTTTAAAAATATTATGAGGGATATAACATGTCTAGAATTAATACCGATTTTGCTGGCAATTACATTATGGGGACCTGCATTATGCAACAAGAAAGTGCTCTTTCGAACTGACAATAAAGCATTAGTTCAAATTATTAATTCTCAAACTTCTAAATCTAAGCGCATAATGTTTTTACTAAGACCACTTATCATGAAATGCATGGAATTTAATTTCTCGTTTCGAGCGAAGTTTATTCAAGGCACAGTTAATAAAATTGCTGATTCTATTTCTCGTAAACAGTGGGGCCGTTTCCGTGGGCTAGCACCAAAGGCACAGAGATTCCCAGATCAAATTTCAAAAGAATTTCTTCAGCTGATATACGACAGGAAGTTAGCAATCTGCTGACCGCATCCATATCAAAGAACACGCAGGAAACGTACACTACGGCACTAATTAAGTTTGACAATTTTAGATTAAAACAAAACATTGAGCCTTCCTGGCCGCCAAAGTTGTCAGACATAGTAGAATTTATAGCAGCGTCATCTTTGGAGGGATTGGCGTATTCCACAATACGCACATATGTCTCAGCAATATTAGTTTCAAGTGCAAGTTAAACAATTCTGATGACCCCACCCACAATTTCATAATATATCTAAAATGTTAGAGGGAAAAAAGAGAATAAGCGCAAAGCCTGACTCACGTTTACCTATAACCTGAGTCCTCAGGAATTCTTTCAACAATTATCAATGGACTTCATTTGTCATGTAGAGATTCCTATGAAACGTTATTATTTACTTAAGCTTACACTTTGGCATTTTTTGGTTGTTTTCGTGTTGGGGAAATTGTCTCATCAAATAAACAGACTAAAGGCATTGTAGATATTAAAGATGTTAAGATCCAAAAAGATGTCTCACTTAAAATAATGTTGAAATATTGTAAAACGGACCAATGTGGGAAAGGGACGGAAGTTGTACTTTCCGCCATAGGGGGGCCCTTATGCCCAGTAGAAAATTTACATCGATATTTACTGATACGCCCTTCCTCCGCAAGGGGGCCATTGTTTTGTCATTTTGATGCTTCTCCGCTTACAAGACATCAATTTACAGCTGTACTTAAGAAAACGCTTAAGCTTTGTAACATAGAGTCAAAGCATTACAAAACACACTCATTTAGGATGGGGGGAGCAACCGCGTTGGCAATTGCAGGATATTCAGAAGACGTAATAAAAACATCCGGCAGGTGGAAGTCTGCAGCCTATAAGTCATATATAAGAATACCATCTACACAAATTGCTTCAATAGTATAGAATTATCTTAATTTTATTTTGTGTTTTATCTTTTATACAACACTAGCTTCTCGTGTATGGTGTGTGGGTTCTTCAATCATCAGATGGGCTTTTATGTCATCAGTATTAAGATCGGGTGGACAAAACCTTGGATTAGAAAGGTTAGGTATTCAGATATGGTGGCAGGGATATTCAGGCCTTAGTTTACGTACTTTAAAACAAAAACTAAGTCATATTTCACGTTTTGAAGGTATACCTGATTATCTTATTCTTCACTGTGGGGGCAACGACCTCGGAAGCAAACCACTTTATGAACTCAGAAATTTAGTTTATTCCATTGTTGAATTTATTTTGAAAAAGTTCAAGGGAACAAAACTTATCTGGTCACAAATTTTACCAAGAAACAACTGAAAATTTTCAAAAGATACTCATGCTATGAAAAGAGCTCGTATTCGGCTTAACAGTTTTGCAGCTAATTTAGTTTTGAGAAATGGGGGGATGTATATAAAATATAATGACATTAAGAAAAATCACAAGGAACTATTTAGGGAAGATGGGGTACACTTGTCAGATTTGGGTAACAGTTTATTTTTAAACACGTTACAGGGAGCTTTGGAAAAGTTTAGTCAGGGAGGGGGGCCTGTTTACCCGGATAGTTAGATAGGAGGTGGGCACAGGCTAATATAAGGTGCCACTTCCCCACTTAGGTGGCGGTGGACATCAAATAGTTTAGGTTTGATGTCCATGTGGCGGATTGCGTGGCACCTTTATTATTATCAAGAAAAGAAAATGAACATTGTCAAAAAACTCTATGACATTTATCAAACTTTGACCGCCGTTTCCCGGGGTCAAGGTAACTTAGAGTAATTTACGTGAAATTGTTAATCAGCGTCCGCCGTTTCCCGGGGTTACGCTGATTAAGGTTGCTTAGTTGTTGAATAATGTTGATGTTGACTGAACAGTTGAAGTTCAGATATGTGTTGAACAGTTGAAATACAAACGTGTTGAAGTTTGTAATTTGTATTGAACAGTTGAATTTGAACATTGAGTTGATGTTGTGATGTTGATATGTTGTGGCTTGCCCAAGTTGAAATGGCAGCCAAATTTAAATTTATAATAAAATGCCGTGCCCACTTATACGCCACAGTTAGGGTATATATAATAAATTCAATAAGTATACAATGTTTTGTGTTGTTGTCTTTTCTTCGATAAATAAATAAAGGCAATGCAAGATTACCAGCACGAACACGTATCGACATTCCACGCCGATACCCGTGAAAATAAAGCCGTCAGGTGTAACGAATAAGAAGAATATACCCCCGTGCTGATATCGTAGACGGTATAATCGAATATGGCATATGCCTCTTTACGAGTCGTGTGCAGCTTTAAAATGATAAAAGATATTTGAATAATATCGTGGAGATTGTACTCAAACTCATATACTTTTCATAACATTTCTTGTAAAATATCAAAGATACACAAATGCATTCATGGAGAAAAGCAAATTACTTGGATGAAGAAAATCTTGGGTTTTTCTTCCAGTGCTTCACATTTCTTAAACTTCTCAAGAACTGTGGCGGTATAATAGTACTGGAGGTCATTCATTAGCAGAGCGTGATGGTGGACTACGATATTATTCTCAACCTTCTCTTGCTCACACCCATGTGTACTGATTGCAAACACAAAGCTATCATAATCTTTTAGTTTATCACCTTTAGAATCTACAAGAAAATTATACCTTAAAATACATACGACGTATTTTTTTTTTTTAAATTATTGTAGAATTTTTATATCAGATATATGAAAAGATATCATTACGTCAGTTTGATCATTTAGATTATGTAAAGATAACATTTTGCACTAAATATATTTTTTTTCAAAAATTGTAACAATAATATTTAATAAGGAAGAAAATTTAAAACTACTTACATTTATTTACTTTTTTGTCAAACTTTTCTTTGGTGAGATCTTTATAGATTTTTACTTTAAATCCCAGTATTTCAAACGTTTCCCTAAGTTTTGTGATGTCCTCTTTGGAGCCACTTCTCTCCTTTGTAAAGTTTACAATCACCACTGCTAATCCCTGATACTTCCTATAAGGTCGAAAGTGATATTCATCACCAGAATCCATCATCTAAGTCAATATAAGAAATACCTAAAAACAAAGAAACAATTGTCAGTCAGTTCTGGTAGTTTTTCGCTGGTTTTCCATAATAAGCAGATTTTGTAGTGATCAAATCGATTAATTGAACATATGATTGTAACAATCACCAGTTTAACCCTTTGGGTACCCCTTGTATTTTTTGCAAGTATTACCCTTCAAACACTTCTTTATTAGCACCCAGATTTTGGCCGACAGGTAACTTTAGCCATTTGGTCATTCCCGGCAGAGCTGTCCATTGTGCAATACACAGTGTAATGGGACAGGACACATTTTGTTAATTTTTGCACCAGCATTGGCCTGAAACTTATAACAAGGTTTACTATTAGCTTCAAATCTGTAGCATTATGGTGTTACATTTTAGTCTTTGACCATAACGCTACAGATCCCGTATTGCAAATATTGTGCAATTTACGGCGCTAAATTTTCTGCGCATGGTTGGGTATGTTTTTTTTTTCATTTTCCAGCATTGGATAATCAACTACCTTTCATTCTCTAATTCTAGACATATTCTATTAGAGATTGTTCTTTCTGACGTATCCGTATCCGTATACGTATCGAGGTATGAGAGGCATCTCGATCCCGATGATTTAACCGTGGGTACCATTTCCATCGTTTCTTGTTTGATTTTAACCTCATTCATTGGAAAATAAGATATATAGTAATATTTCTAATAAAACGCATCAAGTTGCTGTTCACACCTATCATTTTATGGAAGGATTTAAAAAAAATAAAATTAGTAAAAAAGTATGTATATTTTTATTAAATTGTTTAGAAATTAAAAAAAGGTTAAAAAGGGACTTCCCCCTTCTCTCTCTCTCTCATACACACACACACACACACACACACACAATATCAGGAAATATTATTGTTTCATTCTCGAAGTAACCTTTACCAGTACAAGACATATTCCCCATAATGCATACAGTCAACGCTCGTTATCTCTTGCAACTTGATTGGACCAATTAAAACTTCGATATATCCAAGGATTTGAGTTAACAAAGTTTAACTGTACGAGGTGTCAGAGATCAAACATTCTAGATGAGTATAAGTTTGTATACATCAAGCAGACACTTAAAATTGATTAACAAAGTGGAGAAGGGGGAAGCTGGGCCGAGGCAGGGAGAAACCAAAAAGAAACCAAAAAATGACAAGTCACCTTAGCAAAACTTTGACAATAAAAATGTGTAGAAATTAATCAAACTCTTAAAAAACCTATTACTGGGTATGTATGTTTGGGGGGGGGGGTATGGATATTAAGTTTTGAGTTCCTCTTTTACACAAAAATAATTACGGATACATTAACTGTGAAAGATTAATTTGACCATACTGCATACTCTGTGTGAATGTTTGTGTGTGTGTGTGGGGGGGGGGGCACTGAAAATTTCCATCCTCATTTTCTTTTTTATCATTATTAACATTCTGTATATCATTTGATTATATATGATGGACATAGTTCTCCAGAAAAGCTTTGGAAAGCTGGCAATTGGGATGGTTTGAAGACTCTAAATTCCCTAAATTGTTAGGTGATAGCCGTATCCGAAATTCCAGAGAGCTTGAGAAAGGACTATTATTTCCAAAAGTAATGCAATTACACGCATTTTTATCGCGGATGAATTAACAATTGTCGATAAAAGGAGAGATAAACGGAGAAAATTTTGTATTTATGTCTTATACATTACTTTATATACATGTTGTCTAAAGTTTACTTAATGATTTATTTATTGAAATTTAGACTACTGTAATTCTTTGTGTACAAGCAGGATCAAAACTCTTTTAAAAAAATGCTGATATTTTATCAATTAAATGTTTTGTATAAATTTTATTCGTTATTCTGTGTTTTTTTTATTTCTCTGCTACGTTGAAGCAGCCTCTTCTCTTCAATTCTATAAACTGCTTGTTGAATTTACTCACACCTGTCCCAGTCTGGGCCAAAATGCATAAATAAATAAATAAAATTAAAAAATAAATAAATAAATAAAAACCAGCTAGATGGACAAGGTAGCATAGAATAAATAGATAAATCTATTGTTTTGGAATTTTTTAGCCTAATGTTCTTTTCTTTCTTATAAAAAGAGAGTTAAGATAATGAATACCATATTATGAAACAGTTTCTATATCAAACCATGAATTATATATAATACGCATGTACGACAACAAGAGAACTAAAAGGAAAATCAAATTTAACTATTGCATTTTCATTTCATTACCTATTTTTTGTCGCCATGAAGTCTTTTCAAGTTAATACTGCTGAAAGGACAAAATATAAAGCAAAATCAAGCCGTATGAGAATAGGCACGAAAGTAGCAATTTCAACTGGGGAGGGGAAGGGAAGACATACAGGTACATGTATTTGTCAAATAGTTCATTGAAAAAAGAATGAAGAAAGTCAACAGACGCTATGAAAATTTGTGTGTGTTCCCGGGGGGGGGGGGGGTGAACTGGCATTTTTAAGCATATACTGGTAAGGGTCTGGAAGCAATTTCTCTTTAGAAAACGGCTACAAGGTTTTGTTGATTGTGTGGATATCAACGTCTTTTGCATTTTAGTGTGTGTGTGTGTGAGTGGGGGGTGGGGGGTGGGGGTTAACTTTTATGTCATCTAATGTTAATTACAGAATCAATCAATAAAATGTCCTGATGTTAAGAGGGAGAGAGGGGGATCCCGATAAATGTTTTTAAACAAAATTGCAATCAAAGTTTTAAACAATATAATGAAAACAAATACAAATTTATTTAATTTCATTATCTATTTTTTTAAATTTTTCCAGCGAAATGAAAGACGTTTAAAGCAGGTTAATACATTTTTTATTAGAAAAAATACCATATGCTATTATTATATGAATGGGGTTTCTTTAAAACCAAACAAATAACGATGGAAATTATAGTAAATAGTTTAGACATCGGGATCGAGATGCCTCTCTCACCTCGAAGGATACGGATACTTGTACGGATACGTCAGAAAGAACAATCTCTATTACTAACCTGTATATTTATCGATTTTCTTACCCTTTATAGTCGTCTCTACAGACCAGTCGGATTGAGGACAATTAAAAAAAAACAAGCGAGTTTATTGGTCAGTAGAGACGCTTATAAAGGGTAAGAAGGTGGATAAAACATACTGGTTGGTAATAGAACGTGTGTCTAGAATGGTAGTTGATTATCCAAGTAATATATAGTGTACTTTTTAACGACTGTATCTTCAGATATCAGATGAGGGGGCTTGTCTGATATCTGAAGATGCACGAGTTAAAAGGTACTCTACATGTTTTGTATCATTGTTCTCAGGTACTGAGTTACCCATGATCTATCAATTTCACGTTAAAAGCACATGATTCACCTAATAGATATATATTCTCATGCACTGAATTAGCCATGATCTATCAAAATTTCACCATACCATTTTATATGACCAATGAAAAAAGAATGTGATTCGAAAAGTATAGCACGCTTTATTTCTTGAACTTTCTACCTCGCCCATTCCATGAACGCCATGAATGACGGTTGTGACTTAATGCTTTTGCAATTCTTAGACACGACTTAAACCGAAATTATGATGGAGAATTCCTCAGATCATTTAAAGAAACCAAATACAGGTTGAAGATTTTTTGGGAAGTATGACGTTTGATCTATCGGACCTAAAAATTGATTCTATTATGGGTTTCGATAGGCCTATCGGAGATATCTTAGACATGATGGAGACTGAGTTGAGAGCGTCAATTTCACCAGTCCCGAGGTAGAGACAAAGTCGAAAAATAAACGGTTTGTACAAATGTCCGATCATGACATTCAGCGTTTGACTCTCCAACAAAATCACAACACTCGTAAAAATACCACATGGGCAATTTAAACGTTCAAGGAGTGGCGTGCCGCACTGGAAAATGTCCACTTTTGACCGAGATGAACAGCGATTCTATAAATTACTGGATGCAGCGATTTGTGTTGGAATTAGAAAACAAGGAATATCCACCTCGTTACCTGTACTACCTGTGTGTGCAAGTTCATGAGAGACGAAAACATTCATTCAAAAATGTGCTGTGTGAATTCTATTTTGATTTAAAAATTGACGTGCAAAATTAAAAAAAATTTATATTAGGAAAGGTATAACTTCACTATGTTTTTATGAGTTGTTTTTTGCTTATGAAGTCGGTTACTTTGTTTTATCAATTTTTTTTATGGTCAAGGGTCAATGAGAATTGTTGCAACATCATCCGGCTTGCCCTTTCTTAAAAAAGCATGGTTGTTAGAGCACAGTTAGTCATGGTGTATCAAAAATAAAAACACAGTTGACATCAAAGGAAAAACAATAATGATACAATGCTGAAAAATGGAGAAATACATCAACCGTGCGCAGAAAATTTTGCGCCGTAAATTGCACAATATTTGCAATGCAGGATCTGTAGCGTTATGGTCAAAGACTAAAATATAACACCATAACGCTACAGATCTGCAGCTAGTTTACTACAACCGTTTTGTACTTTTCTGCACGGAAAAAGATCGTGGTGAGTATATTTTGTAGTATGTCTAGTTATGTTTAATGTCCTTTTAACATTCGTTCTATAAATTCACCTTGGAAGGCACTCATCAGTGTATTACCAATGTGTGCGGTAAGATGTGACGCTAGCGAGTGTTTGAATAGGTTATTTTGTCAGAAGAAGGGGAAATCTATACATTTAAAGAACAGCCTGTTTCTCATTTAATTTTCTACTTTAGATCCATTCATTACTTTCAAATGAAAGCACAATAAACAACAACACATGATTTGGACATAGCAACGAAATGTAGCAGCTTTATTGTACAATGTACATATAACATATAAAATATGAAAATCAATGATTATATACATGTATATCGTAATGTTGGATTGAATAAATATAGATAAAGTTGAAACTTTTATCGTGCTCTACGTGTTATCCTTAACTGGCATTTAACCAACTATTCAACTCTTATAGAGCCTTGCTAATAGACCGGTTCCAAAGAACCACGTG